GATGTGTAAAATCAAGGATCTCGGTGTAGTGACTTTACTGCACTCAGATTCCTTTTTTTCAAAGTAGATGAAGGTGGAGCCATTTTTACAGTGCAGGGAAGGAAGGTGGGAGTTCCCTGAAGCAAAAGGGGTTTCAGCAGCTGCTGGGAGTCCCTCAATCCCTCCCCTCACTTACAGGAATAGCTCCTCTGGTTCAGTTTGACCTCAGGCACATCTCCTAACTTTCCAGTAGTCACCTATCAAAAAGTTCACCTTACATCCTTGGCAGCAGGTACAGTGGCTTGGAGTGCCAGGCCTTCCCAAGAAAGCGGAGCAGGGTCTGCTCTGCGGTCCCACCTGGGGTGCCAAAATTTGTAACCAAAAGTTCGGTCCCTGTCCTTAAAGGCAATTAATGCCAATTTACTAATGAAGACACAGTTTTGAGAAAAAGGAAAAAGAAGGTTTATTGCTTTGCTAGCAAAGGAGAAACACAGGGGACTCCTGTCCCAAAGGCTATGACCCTCTTGATCAGGAGGGACAAGGGGTTTTAAAGGAATTTTTTAAGAGTTACATTTCAGTAGAGGTTCCCAGGGCGCCCTGATGGCATGTTATTTCACTTGTTAATTCGGGAGATATTCATTTCCCAGATCCCCAGCTGGCATCTCCCTCCTGCAGTGGGTGTGCTCAAGGCGGCCAACTGTGGGGAGGAAAGATAACACTGTCTTCCTAATCCTGAAGGGGGGTAAAGTTTGTCAAAGTTCCTTAAAACACAGCTCAAAGGAGTGTCAGGATTACTTGCCTTATTATCCATTTTGTTGTTCAGTTACTTAAGTTTATACCAGAGAAGATACACAACAAAAAGGCAGGAAAAAAACATAGAACACAGAATGAGACACAGGGGAACAAGAGCCAGGTGCCAAAACCCAGGGAGCAGTGCAACCTCTTGCTAATCCTCCAAACAGGAGTGTGTATATGCCTCTGCAGACATCTCTCTGTCCCTATCAGAGCAGAGGACAGTGTGACACTTTGCTACTGTCCTACACAGGAGTGTGTATTTGTCTGGCCAGACATCTTATTGTCCCCAGAAAAAATTCCTCACCAGACCAATACCAGAGGACAGTGAAACAATTCGCTACTGTCCAAGACAGAGTGTGTATGTGCCTCACCAGGCACCTCACTGTCCCCAAAAGAGATCTCTCTTAAACCCAATACCAGATGTTATGGGGGCACCACTTACCTATGGAGGCTCCTCCACTGGATACTTGCTAGTTGTTTTACTGTGTCAGTTCACTCCAGCGATTTGATGAGCCGAAGGCACAACCAGGGGCCTTGGAACATCTCAAGGTGCGCACCCCCTGGGGTGGCACTCCAGCCTGGAGTCCCAGAGTGAGGGTCCAGCTTCAGAATATTGGTGGTCTGATTTTGCTGGGGCCACCAAACGTTGAACCACAACACAAAGAAAAGACCACGACCTCCAATTTTAAATCAAATTAAAGCAAGCTTATATTGTGTACACAGCAACTGTCTCACCCAAAGCCAGGCTACAGAACAGCCCCCCAGCTCTCCAGGAAAAAGGTTTTACAGCACAAAAAGTTACAAAGTGGGGGATGTCTTGGGAACTTAACAGCTAACAGGATTCTGGCAAGCATAATACAAAGGCAGATAGCAGGTTAATGAGCTCCATGGCTTAGCATTTCAAGGTAGAGAGTAAATTGAGATTCCAACATCAGAATTTATGAAGTGCTGTTGAGTTTTAGGGAGTGTTGTTATCTGGTCAAGGAGAGCCAGGCATGAGTGAGTTTGGAATTGAACAAGATTAGCCCTCAGAGCATGGTCAGGCCAGATAAATATCTTCATAAAACAGAAATGAACTTTTTACAACTTTGTGATGAGATGGCTCCCCATCTTAGGATAGAATTAGGTTGGTTTTATCAACACTATATTCAAGAAACTGGGGTTGGGGAATCACTCTATAACTATGTGATAAGAATGCACATTATAATATAAAATTCATCTATATGTAGTAGTTAGCTGCAAGAAACCATTCTTAGCTTAGGAAAATGGTGTTCCAGGTTTCAATGTAAACTACTAGCAACCTTTAACGTTTCATGTGGTAAATATCTAATTTCTATTTTCAAGCTCTTCCACCCCAGCCTGACTCACGAGGTCTGTAGTATTTTTCTCCAATCACTGATGTGACCACTAATATCATCAATTCTTGCAATCCTCTGATAAAGTCTGAAATGTATCTTGCATTCATTGCAGGAGCATGTGCCTACCAAGGTGAGATTTTGCATGACTTTGGAGTCAGTCTTGGCCATCTCTCTAATTCCTAGTCTGGTGATATCTCAGACTATCACCTGTACACCATTTTGGGGGAGAGTGTAACTGGGGATTTAACCCAGGGACACTTTACCTCTGAGTTTAATCCCCAGTCTTTTTTATTTTTTATTAAGTCTGAGTCTCGTTAAATTGCTAAGGGCTTCACTAAGTTGCTGAGACTGGCCTTGAATTTTCGATCCTCCTATCTCAGCCTCCTGAGTTGCTAGAATTATAGGTGTTCACCCTGGCTATATTCCGTGTGTGTGTGTATGTGTGTGTGTGTGTGTTGCTGGGTATTGACCCTAGGGCCTTGTGCATGCGAGGCAAACACTCTCCCAACTGAGCTATATCCCCAGCCCTAAACTCCATTTTTACATGTTGAATCATTCTTGTGTTCCTGGGATAAATCCCACTGGCAATGATATATAATCTTTTTAATATGCTGCTCAATTTGGATCATTAGGTTTTTTTTAAAGATTTTTACATATTCTCATAAAGGATATTAGTCTTAGTTTTTCCCTGTAATATCTTTGTCTGGCTTTAGTATTAGGGTAATCTTGGTCTTCTACTTCTTGGTAAAGTTTGAGAAAGAGTGGTATCTATTTAAAGTTTTGGTAGAATTTGCCAGTGGACTCTTAGTCCTCTTTAGAAGAGCCTACTAAGTTGTCAAGCTTGTTGATTTTCCCTCTTTTCAATTTTTAGCTGTTTTAGACTAGATTCTTAATAGTTCTAGGCTGTTAAGTAATTTAAACACAAGTCTAGTGTCAGGTTCTATTGACATCATAAAATATTGCTTCTTGCAAGAACTTTAATTTCACTTTGTAATAAATTGTCATTGTAAACATGTTTTACATTACAGCAGAGATTGATAGGAAAGGAAGATGCTAGTGTGTTGTTGTTTTGCTTTGTTTTTTGAGATGGAGTTTCACTGTGTTGCCCAGGCTGGCCTTGAACTTGTGGTCTTCCTGCTTGAGCCACTGAGTAGTTGGGATTACAGGCCTATACCTCAATGCCTGGCTCAAGATGCTAGTTTTTAAACAAAAAATGTTTGAGTGGAGGCTCTTAGGTGAGTTCATTAGTGAATATTTTTGTGTTATGATGTGTGTGTGTGTGTGTGTGTTTTATTGTGGTACTGGGAATCCAACCGAGAGCCTTTCCTCATGCATGTTAGGCAAGTGCTTTACCACTGAGCTCCACTGCCAGTCCTTCTATGGTGTTTTATTACACATCATCATAACACTCTGGATTCAGCTAACTAATAATTCAAAAAACTTATTATATTTGAGAACTACAAAAAAAATGTGGTACTAAGATCAATACTTTAATGAAACAAAACGTCCACATACAAACTCTAGAAATCAACATGCAGGATGTTTACAGAGAATGATTTGGGAATACACATCCATGAATACGAGCTGGGGTTGTGGCTCAGCGGTAGAGCTCTTGCCTAGCATGTGTGAGGCGCTGGATTCGACCCTCAACACCACATAAATAAATAAATAAAGGTGTTGTGTCCAACTACAACTAAAAACAAAATATTAAAAAAAAAAAAAAACACAAAACATCCATGGACAGGAAAGGGAAGATGCAAGACTGAGCAAAGGGGGAGGGGCCCAACAAAAGCTCAGCAAACCCAAAGGTCACATGGTTCAAATTGCCCTGCTTTGAGGCAAAGTGGCTGGGCCTGTATGCCTGTAGTGACCACTTCTTGGATGCAATCTGTCCCTGGAAGGAGGGGAGGCAAGACCCAGATTTGGGGCTGTCTCCCACCCACACTCCAGCAGCTGGGTGGGTAAGTTCTTCATTCCTGGAGGGAATCTGGGAGGCACCTCACAGGGTCCACTCTGCAGATCTGAGTGTATATGAAGAACTTGGTGTCTGTTTAAGTGTTGGTCATGAATCAGGGAAATGAAATCTACTTGATAAGTGATGTTGGAACCATTGATTGTAACCATGGGGAACACACATGGATTAGACTGTTATCTCATCTTACCCGACATTAATTTCAGATAGACTAAAGAATTGAAAGAAAAAGGAAACAATACACCTAATACTTATCAGCTTGAAGGAGAGGGAAATGCAAGTAAACTTAGATGATGCCAATAAAATGATTAATAGGTTTGATCATATGAAATAAAAATTTTAATTAAAAATTTTACACAAAATTAAAAGGCAAACAAAACTGAGAACATGTTTGCAATGAACACACGAAAATATTAATGCCTATTAATTTATATTTGATTGGTTCTTTGTTATCCTATCCTTCCCTCCCTTTCCTTACTCTAGCTTCGGCCTACAGAGACCATTGAGTTTCTGAGTTTGACTTATTTCACTGAGGACAATACGGTATTCTCCATTACCATCCATTTACTGGCAAATGCCATAATCTCATTCTTTTTAGAAAAGTGATCCTGCAAATAAAAAAGAGAAACCCAACACTTATGTTAATTAAAACTACCATGATAACTAATTAGAACAATTTAAAAACAAACAAAACAACAATAACAAAAACCCACAACGAGCTACCACTTCACACCCATTAGGACAGCTATGATAAAACCAAATAACAGTAGTGGAGTTGGGTCCGTTGCCCCGGCTTGGAACGCACGCGCGTCCACGAGGCTTCACCGGTCCTTGGCCAGTTCGTGCCCACTCGGTCTCCGCCCGCCTCAGTTCTGCCTCGCTGCGAGGCCTGCAGTATGGCCCTCACGCAGATCTACTGCTCAAACCAGTATTCGAAGAGCACTAGGAGTACCGGTATGCCATGTTACCCAGAGAACTTTCCAAACAAGTACTTTCCAAACAAGTACTTTCCAAACATGTCCAAAACCCATGTCATCAATGTCTGAAGAGGGGTGGAGGAGACTTGGTATCCAACAGTTGTCAGTGCATGATTCATGAGCCAGAAACACATACTCTTTCTCTTTAGATGGCCTTTTCCAAAAGAGCAACAAAAATGAAGTGTATCTGGGATCATCAATTAAATCTTTCACAAATTTAATGTATATGTGTATATAAGGTAGTATTCAGTGAATACTTGAAAAATGTATAAATTATTCATCCAGACCTGTGCATGACCTGCATTCTTCACAACAGAGCTCAGTCAAATGCAACTACAAATAGGTTATTGTAAATTGTTTAAGATAAAATTTCTTCTAGCAGGGAGCCATAGTGCACGCTTGTGATCCCAGGAGCTCAGGAGGCTGAGGCAGGAGGATCTTGAGTTCAAAGCCAGCCTCAGCAAAAGCAAGGCACTAAGCAACTCAGTGAGACCCTCCCTTTAAATAAAAAAATATAAAATAGGGCTGAGGATGTGGCTCAGTGGTCAATTGTTCCTGAGTTCAATCCCCAGAACCCCCATCCCAAATTCTTCTAGTCAGTTTTTCTCTTAATATCAATGCCTGTTTTATATTACCTGTTATTTTTATTGAACAAAATTTTTATGTAAAATAATAATAAAAATAAAACAAACAAACCTCCAGCAAACAAAAAGTGTTATCGAGGATGCGGAGAAATTAGATCCCTCATGCATAGTTGATAGTAATTTAAAATGGTACAGCTACTGAGGGAAACACTGTGGGAATTCCTTAAAGAATTAAACACATGTGATTACCATATGATCCAGCAATTCCAGTCATGCAGATATATTCAGAAGCATTAAAAGCAAGGACTTGAACAGATATTTGTAATAAACATAGACAGCAGCATTATTTATAGTACCCAAAAGTAGAAGCTACCAAAATGTTCATTGGCAGATGAATGGATAAACAAAATGTGACATACAATGGACTATTATTTGGCCTTAAAAAGAAATTAATTCTAACATATGCTCCAATATGGATAAATCTGGAAAATATTATTATGCTAAGTGAGATAAACTGAATCCAAATAGCTTGTATGATCTACCCATTTATCTGAGATCCCTAGAATAGTGACACTTATAGAGACAGGAAGTAGAGCCATACGGGTAGAGGGAAGGAGGAGATGATGAATGGGCAGAGTTTCTGTTTGGGGTGATGAAAAAATTCTGGAGGTGGATGGTGGTGATGGTTACCTAACAAGGGGAAGGTACTTTATGCTGCAGAACCAGACATTTAATAAATCGTTAAAGTGGTAAATTCTATGTTAGGTACGTTTACCATGATAAGAAAACCCCAACACATCCGTGCTGAAATGTGAGCAGGCAAAAAATGTAAACAGGTAACTCAAAAAACAAAACAACAAAGTGACTTTTAGGCATATAAAATATTAAATTTCATAAATAACAGTAATTTAAATCAAAAGATCAAGATATAATTTGTCACCTCTAAAACTGGAAAAAATACTTTGTACTAATATTCAATTACAGTATTAGTATTTATGTATTCTCATAACAGGGAAAAAAATTTGTACAAGCTTTCTGGAAAGCATCTTGCAAATTATGCAAATGGTACTTTATTTTACTTTATTTTTATTAGTGCTTTTTATTTTTTATTTATTTTTAAATTTTTTTAATATTTATTTTTTAGTTTTAGGTGGACACAATATCTTTATTTTGTTTTTATGTGGTGCTGAGAATCGAACCCAGTGCCTCACGCTTGCTAGGTGAGCACGCTACCACTTGAGCTACATCCCCAGCCCAGCGCTTTTTATTTTATTAATTATATACAGTAGTTGGGTTCCTCCCAACAAACTCATTCATGTGTGGAAATTTATTCCAGTTCATGATTCATCTTTCATCCTTCCCCTTCTCCCCTCGCCTCTTCTCTTCTCCTCTCTCTACTCTAATAGATTTTCGCTTCCTTGTTTTATTAATTTACAATTGATTGGTTCTTCCATATAATATATATTTCATTACTTATGAAATTTAATGTTTTATATATGTATAAGTCACTTTGTTGTTTTGTGTTGTGAATTGCCTGTTTTATATTTTTGCCTGCTCACATTTCAATGTGGATGTGTTGGGGTTTTTTTTTCTTTTCATACATATATAATCACGATTTCTTAATCCATTTATCTATTGACAGGCATCTGAGACTTAGCTATTGTGAATTGTTCTGCTATAAACACGAAGTGGCTGTACCATGACAGTATGCTGATTTTAATTTTGGGAAAATACCAAGGAGTGGGATAGCTGGGTCCATCCCCAGTTTATTGAGGAATCTCCATATTGTTTTCCAGAGTGGTTTTACTAGTCCACAGTACTACCAACAACTTTCCAGCATCGTTGTTTATATTTTTCCAGCAGTATCATTGTTTATATTATTTTTTGGGTTTTTTTTGGGGGGTGGGTATTGAACTTAGGGGCACTTGACCACTGAGCCACATCTTCAGCCCTACTTTTTTTTTTTTTTAATTTTCATTAGCAGCCTTGGAAAGAGAAATTCACATCAGAACTCAGAGTAAGGCAAAGACCCCAACAAAACCCAAAATATCTGTTTTTTCCTTAATTCTTTATAACAACTTTATAATTAACAACTTTATAACTCCCTATGGGGAGGGGCAATTCCTAGGATAGGTTACCTTAGCAACAGGTTGGAGCAGGGGCAAGTTCTTGATAAGGGTGGAGCTCTAAAGAAATTAACATTTCAGTCATTTCATTTTTTATATCTGACCCTTGCCTATCTGCCTGTCTAATTCTGGCTTCACCAGGAGCTGAAATAAACATTCAGAGACGAATCAGCTTTGTTGGCAAGGCAAGAATTTTACGTCTACTCAAAGGATGCACAAGCAGTCAAAATTGAAATCAGGTGCAGGCAGTCTGATCAGCTTTATCCCTGACACAAGGGTGATTGGCTGCTGTCCATTGGTCCAAACTGACCACAAAGTCTTTGGCGTAAATAGCCACTAAAGAAAGGGACACTTAGCCAGGTCTCCTTGGTTGGGACTGACTGCACTGTCTCCTACTGGGTTATTTAAAGAAATACACCTCAAGTTGTCCCTACCTGCCTTTGTTGCCTTCTGGTGGGAAAGTCCTGTTGGGTTGAATGCCTTTTGGTCTATGGGTGCTGGGTTTGTTGTCTCCTTTCAGCAAAGAATTGAACAGGACACAGAGATAGAAAGCAAGAAGAAAGTTTATTGAAGAGAGAGAAGAGAGATACAAAGATAGACTTCTCCAAAAACAAAGGGCCCCAGAGCTGGGAATCCAGTGGGGAATGTTGGCCTGTTCTCTTTATGGTCTCTGGATGGATTTCCTCCTTCCCTTACCTCCTCTTCTGTCCACTATTATTGATTGGTGCCCCCTCTGTCCAAGAATCTGTTTTTGTTTTTCTATTGAAAAACACTTAGGAGCACAAGCATGGAAGTGTCTGCCTGACTGGATCCCCTGTGTGTGTCAGCGAGCACTTTTGTCAAGCAGGAGATGATCTCATCAGAAGACCCCTCTCCATGCTCCTTTGTTCTAGCCCTGTCCCCGACCTCCTTGCCCTCCTAGCCATCTTGCCCTGGCTGCCTAAGCCCCTCTATCTCTCCCTAACCCTAACCCTCACTTTGTTCTCATGCAGTGGGAAAGTGTTCGGGTTGAATGCCTCTTGGCATGTACACTTAGGAGAAAGTGAAGGCTGGGAAGTACAGATTTTAAAAAGATAGGCAGCCACTGAATGAAATTGGCAGTCAGGAAGTGAGGAAGTTAGAATGGAGTTTCTCCAGTTTGACAGAAAAGACTGATGAGCTTGTTTCCCTCCATGGCAGAAGGTACCACTTGAACAAAGAACTTGAAGTGAAGAGCAAGTGCTGTGAATATTTGTGGTGGAAAATTCAGGAAAAGGGAACAGAAAGGGACCCAGGGCTAGACTATGTGAGTGTACTTGAGGCGACATCACAGAGACCTCTGGGCCTGGCCGGTGTGGCGTGAACAAGGGTGAGTATGTTAGGAAATGAGGTGTGAAATTTAGTGGGGCCAGGTCAATAGGCCTTGAAGGTCCTGGTTAGGACCTTGGGCTTTACTCTGAGGGAAACAGGAAGCCTTTGGAGGGTTCTGAGCTGAAGTCCTGATTTCAGTTTTAAAAGAAGCACTGGCTAATATTTGGAGCACACTCTACTAAGAGTCAAGGGTGGAAGCAACACAGATCAGTTAGGAGGTTATTAAAATTCCAGACAAGACAGGATGGTGCCTGGCCCTGATAGATTGTATTTTGAAAGTGGAGCCATGGATCAGATATTGGATGTGAGATGAAGACAGGAACCTGGTGACTGTAAAGGATTTTGTTTGCTTATGTTTTTGTTATTGAGACAGGGTCTCACTTACGTTTCTCAGGCAAACAATCCTCCCCTGCCTCAGCCTGTGTTGTGGTTTAGGTCTGGAATGTTCCTTAAAATGTTCATGTTTGGGGAGCATAATCCCCAATGCGGCGAGGTTCAAAGGTGAGTTTAGGGGGCAATGATGAGGGCTCTGACCTCATAGGTGAATTAATCCATTTGCTGGATTAATCCATTGATAGTTGAATGGACCACTAGGTGATAACTGTAGGCAAGTGGGAAATGGCTAGAGGAGATGAGTCATTGGGGGTACAGCCTTGGGAAATATGTCTCTCCCTGGCCCCCTTCCTCCCTTTTCTGTCTTTCTCTCTCTCTCTCCCCACTCCCACTTCTTCCTGGCTGCCATGAACTGAACAGTTTTCCTCTGTCACATCCTTCCATCCTGATGTTCTGCCTTACCTCAGGCCCAGATCAATGGAATCAGTGGGATTGGCTGACTGTGAACGAAACCTCAAATACATTTTTCCTCTAAGTATTTCTTGTCAGATATTTTGGTCACAGCAATAAAGATATGACCAACAAAACCTGATTCCAGGGTTTTGATCTGAATAAGAGTGAATTTTGGTCTTAATTACTGAGATGAAGAATACTATTGGAGAAGGGGATTTGGGGAGCAAGGAATCGAGGGACTGACTCTGGAAAGGTTAAGTGGGAGGTACCTGCTGGGAATCAAGTATAGAAGCAGTCTGAGTAGTTGGAAGCATGAGTCTGGAGATTTGAAGTGAAATCAAGGCCACAGACATTAACGTGGAAGCTAAAAGTGCATGGATAAGTAGTTAGGGTGTGGACAGAATGAGAACATCTAGTTAGTGGAGTAGAATGGATAAGAGCCCTGGGTACTCCAATATTTGGAGGTTAGGAAGAGGAGGGAGCATCAGCAGAGAGGACTGAGGTGGGGCAGTGAGTAGAGGAAGACCAGAAAGTGGTATTAATACCATCTGCCCCCCACTTTCTGTACAAACTGATTACAAGCGTGCATCAAAATCTTGTGTTAAACTTGCTTCAATGGGCTGAAGCAAGATGGAGGTCAGTGGTAGAGCACGTGGTTACCCTTTGTAAGGCCCTGATGAGGAGTGGGAGGACCCGGTGCAAGGATGATAGAGGTTCCCCTGACATCAGAATAAGTCCAATTGAAAATTTTTCTGCAACGCATCTTGCAAATTATTGAGATGTTTTAAATGTTCACATTTATTGATCCAAAATCCAATCACTAGGGAGCTACTCTGAGGAAATAATTAGAAACACAGGTACAAATAGATTCATAGGAATTCTTATTATAGTATTTTAACTCTGAAAAAGATGAATCAACCTAAACACCTATTAGTAGAGCTTGGTTAAATAAGTGTTAGCATATTTATTCATTTTTCCATTCAATAAGTATTTGTTAAGTGTGCCAGGTACTTGAAAGGGCTTTGTCATAGATCAGGAGGGGTGGGAGGGAGTCTTTGGTGCTATCTACAAGGCAAAAAGACATGAGGTCAGTTTTATTATTCTGAATTTGGGGCCCGGTATGAGAAACAGCAACATCAAAAAGTGCCATCGGATAAGAGTCCAGATGCCTGATGCTAAGAACTGCTCACAATGTCCACTGGAGAGTAATCAAGACTGGCCCAATGATTAGGGCTTTGATCTCATGGGTGAATTAATCCATTTGCTGGATTAATCCATCTACAAGGCACACCAAGGTCATATAACATTCAGTGTTTTCAGTTTCTTTAGACTCAAGGAATCTCCTATTGTTCTATTACTATGCTTATAATTGTCTATGGTCATAAAATTTCCAAAAAAAAAAAACAAAAACCCGGCAAAAAAGCATAGGTCCCATTAAATAGGGTTGGTGAGGTAATGACTCTCTGCCATGGGATATAATAGGGAGAAAGCAAATCATAATTTTTTTTTTGTACTGGAGACTGAACCCAGGGGTGCTTACCACTGAGCTACATCTAAAACCCATTTTATTTTTTATTTTGAGACAGGGTCTCATTCAGTTGCTGAGACTGCCATCCTCTTGTCTTACCCTCCACTGGGATTATAAAAGTGTGCCACCAGACCAGCCAAATAACAACATGTTGCTGCATCATGTTAAAATCAAATTGTTATTCAAGGATTATTCCTCTTCCAGTATACTAATTCTCTCCTCCTACTATACATACAACTTTTAAAAATTAATTCATTTTAACATATTTCAGTATGTGGGTATTTTAAATGTGCATTAATATATACAGTTATATTAAATTATGACAAATGAAAATATCAAAAGCTTTAAAATTTAGAATTTAAAATATAATCTTATTGAGCTGGACGTGGTACCACACGACTGTGATCCCAGAGACTGGGCAGCTGAGGCAAGAGAATGGCAGCAGGGACGAGGCTGGACTCAGCAACTAAATGAGACCCTGTCTCAAAATAAAAAGGGCTGAGGAGGTAGTTCAGTGGCTTCAATTTCATATATATATATAATTTTTTCCTTATCAATTGTTATCAGTCACATTACAATTCTTATTCCATGGACTTTAACCTCTTGATTTGAGAATCATTAAGAAAACATGTTTTCTTATTTATAGGAACAAGACAATATAGTAATAATTTTGTGTTGACCAGGGAATTTTTTTTTTTTTAGAGATTGGGTCTCCCTATGTTGTCCAGGTTGGCTCTGATACTCTTTTTTTTTTTTTAATATTTTTAAAGTTGTCAATGGACTTTATTTATATACAGTGCAGAGAATCGAACCCAGGGCCTCACACATGCTAGGCAAGCGCTCACCACTGAGCTACAACCCCAGCCCTCCAGGTTGGCTCTGATATCCTGGTTCAAGTGATCTTCTTGCCAGCTGGTTCAAGTGATCTTCTTGCCATCTTCCTGAGAAGCTGGGACTACAGGCACATGCCACTGTGCTCAGCTGACCGGAATCTTTTACTTTTCCTCCTTCTCTTCCTTCTCCCCTCCTCCTCTTCCTTCTCCCCTCCTCCTCCTCCTCCTCTTCCTCCTCCTCCTCCCCCCTCCTCCTCCCCTCCTCCTCCTATTCCTCCACCCCTTACCTCCCCTTCCCATCCCTTTCCCCCTCCCCTCTTGTTTTCCTTCTCCTCCTCCTCCTCCTTCTTCTCTTTCTCCCTATACTGTTAAACCCAGGGCTTTGCACATGCTAGGGAATACTCTGCCACTGAGTTATGCCATTTATCTATTTTTAATCAATTTCATTTCCTTGGCCAGGCATAGTGGCACACACATGTAATCCCAGCAGCTTTGGAGGCTAGGCAGGAAGATAAAAAATTCAAAGCCAGCCTCAGCAACTTAGTGAGACCCTGTTTCAAAATAAAAATGGCTGGACATGTAGCTCAGTGCCCCTAGGTTCAATCCCCAGCCCAAAAAAGAGGGGGCACTACATATGATCACTGGGCATCAGTGCTATTGCTACATGTCAGCCTCAGTCAGTTGGTGGAAGCAGTTCTAGAGTGAAATTGATGTCACCCGGATCACAGACCTCTGTAATCATTATAAAAGAAGCCACAAGTTTTTGGCCATTTTCAGCTCCAATTGGATGGGAAAATGGTTTCTGCCCCTCACCAAGACTTATGGTGGGAAGAATCTGCTAAAGCAGAGGGTTTCATGTGCCAGTGGCCAATACAATGACACATGTCAGTGTAATAGAAACCCAGTTATTTTCTCATAATATGAAGCTCTGGGGGAAGCAGTTGATGACAAGGACTCAACCATTTCTCAAGTTGTGTCTGGGTAGCATGACTTGTGACTTCTCATGACTGATTGCCTAAAGGGTCCCAGGTGGCACCCCTGCCAGCAGGTCTAGCCTCAAGACAGACAGAAGAGGGGCAGAGCTCTGCCAACTGCATCATCTTCCCTTTTATTGAAAAGGCAAAATCTTTCCTAGAAATCCTCCATAGACCTTTGCACATGTCTCTTTAACCAGAATTGTCATAAAGCCCACCCTGGAAATGAGGGAAACTGGGAAGATATTTAGTTGGTAGATTGCTACCTCCTCCAACAAACTGGAGCTCTGTTACAACAAAAAGGAAGAAGTGGAGCTAGGATAAGCAATGAGCACTGTTGGCTCCAATTAGGACTGGGCCTGAAAGGGTGATAAGAACCACCAAATTTCTCCCCATGCCATTTATCCAGAGACCATATTATATGGTTTTTGTATTAGCCTGCTTTCTGTTGCTCTAACAAAATACCTGATGATGGGTACTCTATAAAGAAATGAGGTTTATTTATTTCAGAGTCCAAGATTTGGCAGCCCCTGCAGCTGAACTTTAGTGAGGGTCATCACAACATGGTGAATGACATCATGGTGGGAGGATATGCAAGGGGTAAAGATTTCATGGCCAGGAAACTGGGGAGGGACAAGTCTTGCTCTTTTTATAACAACCCGCTCTCACAGGAGCAAATGGGGCCCATGAGAAGTCCATTACTTCCTTCAAGGGCCTCATCCCCAGTGGCCGAATTACCTCCCACTAGGCCCATCTCTTGCAGGTTCTACCACCTCAACACTGCCACACTGAGGACCAAGCCTCCAGCCTATGAACCTTTGGGGGACAAACCACATCCACATCATCACAAGCTCCAAAAAAAGCCAACACTGTAAGAGCAGATGTCCCAGTTTACAATATGTGCGTATGTGGGGGTAGGGAAGGTATCTCTGAGAAGTCACTGGAAGCAGCCAAAGCCCCCATTCCTGAACCTCTGTGATGTCACACTTGACATTTCTTCCCTTCTCTGCTGTAGTCACAGCAGTCTGGGTGCCAAAACAGAAGAGGGATCTGGTGGCCCTCATTTCTCTGAGAACAGGAGGCCTAGCCATGCCTTTCTCATAGTATGTCATGCACCAACTCCAACTCTGCTCAGATATTCCTGGTTTCTCCCAATCCTCTTTCAGCTTTAATGCAATGCTGCTGGTCACTTTCAGTGGCCTTTTCTCCTTCCCATGAGTGTCCCATGCAAGCTGTCAGTTTTCTTAACAAAGAGATAGAAGGGAAAATAGACAATGATAGTGCAGAGGCAGGGAAGTGGATAGACAGGGTCAGCAGGGGAAGGAGGATATAGAGTTAGGGGAAACCCGATATGCAAGCACAGAGGTGTAGAGAGCCTGATGCATTTAGGGAACTTTGGGTGACTGATAATGCTGGTGACATTTGGTGGAGTCTTCATGGTCTGTCTCTAGCCTGGATATTTAGAGCTGTCCTTAAGGTATGTAAGTCTGACCTCAGGTGAGCCAGACCTCACAGGGAGCTCTGGGTTGCCCCAGACTAGAACTGAGCCTGGCTCTGGTTTCAGTTGCAGGTGGCTGGCCCAGAATGGGGAGTGGGCTTTTCCCGAGGTAATGGGACTTCTCTTTGTCCTAACCATCTGCAGTATGATTTCTCTCAATTTCTCAGATCCTGGTATCTTGCATCGAGGTAAGACTTCAGACCCCTGAGAGAAGGAGGTGGCACCCCAAGGGCTGATGCCTTCAGAGGTGATTTCTAAAGTGCTAACCCCACCTATGAACTCAGGATCCCTCTCTCCATGTCATCATTACTTAGGCCCTGGCACTTCATTTCCCAAGCCCCTGAGGTGAGAAGAAACAGAATCCTGGAGGTTTTCCAGTTGCTTTAGTGGGGAGGACTGAGCAGGCTGGCAAGAGAGGCAGCAGGCTCTTCCAAACCACGCAGTTCACCCTTCCTCCTTCCCATTTCACACCCGATTCCAAAGGGGGGAGCTCCATGTAGAGCTCCTGTGGCTGGACAGCCCTTCTCTCTGACTGCCGCCCATCTGAGTGGTCAGCTTGCTCAAGGGACCGGGATTCCCCTGCCCACCTCCTCCCCACCCTTCTTGTTGCCCAGTGATACTATGGGGCAGCCCCAAGCATCAGAGTGGTGGAAGGGCCTCCTGCCATTGCCCAAACCTCTTCCCATGCCAGGCGCCTTCAAGCAGGACCCTGAGGCAGCATATGTGGCCTTTCAAATGCCCTGGTGCCCACATTGTTCCTTCCACTGCCTTCCCTGGACCTTCCACTGCCCCTTATGCAACATCTGTGTGGAGGTGAGTACTCCTCCTTCCTGTTCACTCTCCCTTCCCCAGGCACCTAGCCAGGACTGGGAACCTCACATCATATGTGGGCCAAGGGTGGGTATGAGACCATCTTCCCAGACTGCTAAAAGTGGCTCTCAGCCACTCTAGGTCACTTACATCTGTATCGCCTCTGTGTCTGTATGTGTCCTGAGAGGCTGGCCTTGCTTGCACAGGTGCTGATAGGCAAAGGGCATCTCATCTGTGCTGAGCCTGGTGGAGTCAGGGGGAGGAAAGGCAGCACCTGTCTCATCCTCTGGCTTACAGATACTAGATACCCAGACCTTTAGGCTGACTGATGCCTGTCCACCTCTGGGTGTCCAAGCTGGAGGGTTTCCTGGGTTCTGAGTGCTCTTTTCTCACGTGCACACCCTGAGTAGACTTACAAGTGCAGAAGGCTGGCTGGGCAAGCAAGTTCTTCACATCCTTATTCAGTATCTGAGAAAATAGAGGCTCAGACTTACCCTATACCTTGCTTGAAGTGACACCAGGCAGGTCTTATCTCTAAAGACTTCACTCAGGACAGGTGACCTGATGAGCCATGGCGTCCTAACTGTGCTCTAACCATGGAAATGCTAGTTTCGCCCTGGATATGGGAGCCCGTGCATAGGGCCAAGAGCAGGAGGTCTAGGGGCTAGGTTGGGGGAGGCCTCAAGATTTGGGGCTGATGGGCTAGGCCAGATAGACCCTTGAGGCCTTCCTCCTCTCCCCTAGGACTTTGACCACCACTGCAAGTGGGTCAATAATTGCATCGGTCATCACAACTTCCGCATCTTCTTGCCACTGCTCATATCCCTTGCCTCTACCTGAGTGTCCTGCTGGCTACCTGCCTGATATTCCTCCTGCGCACGAGACACGGACCCTTCTCCCTGGACAAAGCCATGGCGTATCCACACCGTACCAAGGGCCCGCAGTGGGAAGAGCACAGGCTTGGGACTGGAGGGACCGACAGCCAAGGGGCAGGGTAACCGATGGTGGGGCTGACGTGGGTGGGGCTAGAGGGAGGAGCCACTTGGGAGGACCTGTGAAGGACAGGTTGAAGGCGAGTGGGTCAGGGAGATGGATGGGGTAGGATGGACTGTGGAGTTAAGAATCTAGCGGAGCCAGGGAGTGGGGCAATGAAGGTTGAGAAGGAACAGGCGGGACAACAGCGCGGTGGAGTGAGGTTTCGCTTTGCTGACTGGACCAAGCGTTCAGTCCAGGGTGGAAGAGTGGGTGGGCGGGGCTAACTAGGACGGGGTTTTGGGGCGTGGTCAAGTAGAGGGGCGGGGCCAAAGAATAACGCTTTGGTGGCTTGGCTTCTTAGCCAAGCTTCATCCTAGCTCTACCTTCCACCAGCCTCCTGCTGCCGCTCATCCTGCTCCTGCTGATCCAAGCTGCGTGGGTGAGCGCCGCCAGGCGCCCCTAAGAGGGCCAGGTAAGCAGGGCAGAATGTTCTTGCACATCTGCGGCTCCAGCACTTTCTGTGCTTTCTCCACTGCCCTTGCTTCTTGAGTCCTTCTGGACCCATCCCTTAAGATGCAGCTCAAATCTCTCCTCCCCCTGGAGCTCAGTGTTCCTTCTCCCTCCTGGGCACATTGAGTGGAGAGCCTACTGTGTGCCAGGCTGAGTGTTTTTTGAGGGATGTGTGTAGAGGTAAGTACATCCTGCACTTGTGTTGATAAGCAACCGGCCGACACCCAGGAACACTCTGAGAGGGGGTCATACCAGAGTGTTGTAGCATACTGGAAGAAACTGAGAGTTTGGCGAGGCCCACGGTTGTAGAGGAGGACATGCAGCTCTTTATGTCCTAGGTATCACTGTGGAGAGGCAGAGGACAGGGGGGCATTGCCTGATGAGAGGCACCTGTGCAAAAAGGCACAGAAACCCGAAAGTAGGATGTTAACAGAACGATGAGAAAAAGGCTCTAATTCAAGCCCAAGGGCAATGAAGTTGACCCCGTGTGTGTGTGTGGGGGGTCAAGATTAAAAAGACCCACAAAGTCAAGCGTGGAATTTAGTTTTGGTGAAGGGGAAACCTGGGAACCATCTTGGGATTTTTTTTTTTAAGTCGCTTATTGAGGAAATGGTAAAAATTACCCTTTTTAGTCTATAGTTAGGGATTTTGACAAATGGATACTGTCCTGCATTCTCCACTATGACTAAAGTTAGACCAGTTTTATTACCCCAGAAAATCCTTTCATCATCTTTTGTTGTCAGTTTCTCTCCCTATGTCCTGGTTTTTCTTTTTCCAGAATCATGTAAAAATGGAGTTGTTGTCTTTTTAGCCTGGCTTCATTCATTTAGCACAATGCATTTGAGATTCATTCATGTTATTGCTCATATCAGTAGTTCATTTCCTTTTATTGTTATGTAATATTGTATGGATGCCCTACAGGTTATTTATACATTCACCAATGGAAGGATTTTTACATTGTATGTAGCTTTTGGCAGTATTTTTTGTTTGTTTTTGGGTTTTTTGTACCAGGGATTGAACCCAGGGATGCTTAACCATTGAGCTACATTCCCAGATCCCCTCCCCCTTTGTGTTTTCTTTATGGAAATTTTTTCTTTTTTTAATCTTAAGACAGGTTCTCGCTAAGTTGCTTAGGGCATCACTGAGTTGCTGAGACTGGCTTTGAACTTGAAATCCTCCTGCCTTAGCCTCCCAAACTTCTGGGATTACAGGTGTGGGCCATGGTGTCCAGGTAGTTTTGGGCAGTTACAAATACATTTGCTACAAACATTGGTATATAGGCATTGAACATAAGTTTTCAGTTCTGTTGGGTAAATTCTTAGGGGTCATTGCTGAGTCATAAGGTAACCGTTTGTGGAACTTTATAGGAAATTGTAAAATTTGTCTTCTAAAACCACTATACAATTTCTAGTTTCTACCAGCAATGTATGAGAATTCCAGTTGCTCCACATCCTCACCAACATTTGACCCTGTCATTTGTTGTTATTTTCTTTCGTCTTTTAATCGTAACCTAATAAATGAGTCGTGGTATCTCATTAAGGCTCCAGGTTGAGTTTTCCTATTGAGTAATGATGTTGGGCATATTTTCATGTCTTTTGCCCATTAAAACAACAACAAAAAAAAGGGTTGTTTTCTTATTGAGTTTTAAGAGTTTTCTACATCAGATTCAGATCTAGGTTTTGTAAATCTCTTCTTGCAATCTGTTCCTTGTCATTCCATTTTCTTCATAGCATTTTCCCAAGAGCAGGAGTTCTTAGTGTTGTTTTTCCAGGACTGGGGGTTGAATCAGGGGTGCTTGACCACTGAGTTCTCCCGAAGCATTTTGTAGTTGTTGTTCATTCTACGTAGAAAATTATGTCATCTGTGAAGAACAGTTTCATTACCTTCTTTCCAATCTGTGTGTCTTTATTGCTTTTTCTTTTTAGTGTTGAATAGGAATGATAGGAGTGGGCATCTTTACCATGGGATTCCTTTAGTATGGCAATCACTTGACTAAAGGCTCTTTCAAGAAGACTGGTGGGCAGCATCAGTGGGGGAGGGGAAGCTTCAGACCCCGAGACAGTGAACAGACAGAGGAGCCTCTCTGCTCATCACCTCCCATCCTTTTAGTCACCACCCCACCACTGCCATATGTGGTTCTCTCCCCCCTGTGACTCCTGTGCTTGGCCCTTATTCCTCAGCCCTGTGGTCTGCCTTTCTTCTCTCCAGCTTCTAGTATCATCATTGAGTTTGCCTGGCAGCCTTTTCCCTCCCTCCATCCTGTGGTTCTTCCAGCCCCAGGTCAGGCCATAGGCCATCGCCCTTCCTCCTCTGCTCAGAATGAGGCTCTCCAAGTCCAGGATCCTCAGTCTCAAGGGACCTAAATGTGGTCTGCACTGGGATTCACCAGACAGGGCTCCTTTCCATTACCTGCAGCACCCATCTCAGGCACTGATCCCATGCTCCAACTTTCACTCCCACCATACTCCATTCCCTGACTGCAACTCCTCCTGGAGTCACTTGCTTGGTGGTTGGTGGCAAGGACTCTAGAGCCAGACCACATAAGTCCAAATCACAGCTCTTCAACATACCAGCAGGGAGACCTTGGGTATGCTACTTAGCCACCTGGTTGCTCAGTTTTCTATCTGTAAAAGAGTGAAGCATGGGTCAATTCACGTAAGAAACAGAACAGTGGCTGATAACATAAAGTGCCCTGTGTGCTGCTATTACTCTTACTACCATTCCTTCCCATGGTCATTTACACATGTTTGTGCTTCATCTTAAAAGCCAAGCAATCCCCACTCTTAATGTCCCAGGCCTCCACTCCACTTGTTGTACCCTCTGTGCCTTATTCTCTGAAAGAGTATGCTCTTGAACTTGTAATCCTCCCGCCTGAGTCTCCCGAGTCGTTGGGATTACATAAGTGTGCCACCATGCCCGATTTGACTGAGGCATTCTTGATGCCCTGAAATATTTCTGGCTGAGGGCGCATCTCAGTGGTAGAGCTTGTGCTTAGCATGAACTGGGCCTGAGTTCTTCAATCCCCAGCGCACAAAGAAAAAAAATCTGAATAAATGAGTGAACCTACAAACAAAAGAATCAACATTTGGGGATAGAAGAAAAGAGAGAAAGGATCAGAGAGAAGCCTGGTGCCCTGATCCCCCAGGATAAGGGGAAGAAGGAGAGGCAGCAGGAAGTTGGGCAGAAAATGGGGCAAGAAGAAAATTCCACTTGATTTCGGTCCTGTGGGGGTATGGTGGCTTTTGAGACACAGAATTGGAGAAGGAGCCCCAGGAGTGGAGCCAGTAAGGGAGGCTGGTCCTGGTGCTTCAGAGCTGTTGGATTCTATTCATGTCTAATAGGGTTCCATGTGGGGAAAGGAAAGTATTCAGATTTTCTGCTCAGTTCTTAAAAATTTACTAATTATCTGGGGCTGGGGCTGGGGCTCAGTGGTAAAGCGCTTGCCTCACACATGCAAGGCACTGGGTTTGATCCTCAGTACCACATAAAAATAAATAAAGAGATTATGTCCATCTATAACTAAAAAACAAAATTTACTAATTATTATTCCTTTAAGCATTTTTATATACACTATGTACAATCAATCAACATTTTCTATACTTTATATCCATCTAATCAAAAATTCTTTCAGTAAATTTAAAAATTCTGTAAAGTTTTTTAACACTTTGCCATTAATTAATTATTATTATTATTATTTTTTTTGGTACTAGGGATTGAACCCAGGGGTACTTTATCATTTAAGCTACATCCCCAATCCCTCTTATATTTTGTTTTGAGATAGGGTCTCACTAAGTTACTGAGGGTCTTGCTAAGTTGCTGAGGCTGGCCTTGAACTTTTGATCCTCCTGCCTCAACTTCCCAAGTCACTAGGATTCCAGGTGTGCGCCACTGCACCTGGCACGATGCTAGTTTCTTAAGTGCTGTGAACACATTAAAGGAGGCAGAACACGTAGAACACAATAGTTCATGTTGTTTTTTGGACATGGTGGAATATTCCAGAGCTGTCCTGATGTGGAATCCTAGTTCCTCATAGTGGAGAATAGTGTTGAAGATCAAAGTCTTCATGCAAGGGTCAATGGAGAGTTGGGGTGGACAGAGGTGCTGCTGGGCCACTTTCCATTATGACAGAACTTTTGCTAGCTAAATCTCTTGAAGTTGAGACTCAATCTGGTCTGGGAGGAGGAGGGGGCAAGGCTTATGAATGGAGTGGGGGGAAGGGAAAAGTGGAATAAAGTAGAGGAGAAGCCAGTCAGTGTCAAAGGGAGGACTTGACCTTTGAGCTTGACTTTTCCTGCTTTGTGTACTGAAGGCCTTCAGCCCAGATTTCCCTGGGCCATGTGATTTTTTTTTTTTTTAATTTTTTATTGTTGGCTGTTCAAAACATTACATAGTCCATGTGATTTTTAAAAATTTTTTTTTATAGTTGTAGATGGACAGAATGCCTTTAATTTATTTATTTTCTTTTTATGTGATGCTGAGGATCAAACCTAGTGCCTCATGCATGCTAGGTAAGCACTCTGCTGTTGAGCTACAGCCCAGCCCTGACCATGTGATTTTTCACTAGGAAACTATAATTGGGCCTCCCCTCTGCCCCTTCCCTCCCAGAGAGTGAAATTCAATGAAGGCACATTTTTTAAAAAAAAAATGAGAAGTGGGGAAGTGAAGTGGGAGTGGGGTGGTGACACTGTCTTTGGAGCAGTTGAGGAGCACAAGGAAGATCCTAAAAAGCATCTGGAAGGACGGGTGAGAGGAAAGGTGTGGCCAATGGAGACAGAGCCAGGATCCTGCACAGGGAGGCACAAGGGATGAGGAGCCCTGGGAAGGCAGGAGAGGTGGGTGCTGGGTCAGCACTGTCTGGGGAGAGCTGCTCACAAGTGGGGCAAGGGAGGTCACTCCTCCTAGAAGCCCAAGAAGGCAGGAGGCCCTGGGTCACTCTTGAGCTTCCCTGCCCTTGGAGTCTTGCTCCAGGCCTGGGTTGAGCCCTAGCTTAGTCAACCAACTTAGGGAGGGTCACTGGGAGATGGCCTTACCTGGTCCTGCTGGTTCTGAGCTCCTCTTCCCATCCCCATCTCCCTCCAGGGACAATTCCTTCAGGGGGACAACTTCTTCTACCAGGGCTGTGCCAGCAACTGGTATATGACCATTTGTGCACCGTTGGGATCCAAGTGAGTTGGTAAACAAGAGGCTCAAGTGGTGGACCCTGAGGCCGGTGGGGTGGGGTGAAGCTGGGTCTTCTTCCCTGGTCCCTGACCCCAGCTCCCAGACCCTGTCATCCACTGTCCTTTCTTTTGCGGTTTTCTCCAGGGCACTCTGGGACCTTCTGGGAACTTTTCTCCTCTTGCCTTTCTAATTTCTTGCCCCAAGAAATGGGGTAGAGGGGAACTGCAGCCTGGATGAGGTTCCTGTGTGAGAGCCCTGGGCTCTGTGCTTTCCCAGCTGAGGGATGAGGGTGGCCAGGGAGACCAGGCCAAGGTGGGTAGTGACTCCTTGCATTTGGCCTGTCACTCCACAGGTACTTGTCAGAAGCTGTCTGGCTGCAGAGAGAGGAAGTAACCGAGTGGGATTCCCTGCACGCTCTGTGCTTGCCAAGATACTCCTCCCCACACCATCCTACAGAGTTCCCTGGGCCCACATCTCAAACTCTGGGTTTCTACACACATGGGCAGGGCCCCCCAGGGAGTGGCAAGGCTGCAGCTTTACAGGAGGTGAGGAGTAGCAGGAGTGCACTGGGAGAGGGGTGTCTGGGGGTTGCACATGTGTTGGGGGAAGCCCCTGAAGATGGGCTGGCCCTGAAACTGAAGCACTTAGAGTTTAAGAAGCAGGATTATGGACCTGGAGGGTGTGGGGTCCAGGTCACAAGACTTTACAGCACACCCAGGTGTCCCTGGATAGATAGAGAGAAAAGACTGCACCGCTAACTTTTTAGTTGGCCTTGGGCCAGTCCCTTACCTTTCTGGGCCTCAATTTCCTCAGCTATTAATGAGGACTGAGACCAGTTCTGTAGTGTATCATGTTTTAAAGGAGAAATTTTTTAAATGGAAATTTTTACTTGAAGTCCCCATGTGAAACAAACGGAGTGGAGCATTAGGAGCGCAGTGGGGTGGGTAACCCACAGTGCCCCTCAAAGTTCCTTGTAGTGACTTGTGCTGCCAGCCCTCTCCTTTGTCCTGTCTCCAGGGGCCCAGGGCTTGACTGTGAGCTATGGGGTGGAGGTCAGGGAGAGCCCCCATGTATTGACTCTGTGTTTAGCTTCCCATCAGCCCAATGCTGCAGTGGGAAGCCCCCAGGAGAGGCTTGGCCTCCCCTTCACCCCTTCACACCCAGTGATCCAAGGACGTGCACCTGAACTTCATTTCGTGAGCCCCACATGGAGGTCTTTCGTGCCTGAACCCTCATTCACTTCCTTTGGGAATGCCAAGACCCCCGTGCCTGTTAAATTCTCATAAATATTTTTTGCTGTTTCCTGCAGCTGCTCTGCATTGTCTGTTCTAGGTTCAGAGAAGTGTGTATCCTGGGGGTGTAGGGAGATTCTGAGGAGCTGGAAAAAAAATCCCTCCTCGAAGGGAAGATCCTAGGTCTCTGGAGACCCAATCTCAGGAACCAACACTGTCTGGCTCTTTGACCTTGGGCAAGACACTTAGCATTTCTCTCATCCTTAAAATGTGGCAACAGTAATAATCACAGTGACTGACCTGGCTGGCTTCCTGGCAAGGGCTGGAGATGAGAGCAGAGAAAACCCCCAGCCTGGATGTCAATGCTGGGGATGAACAGACCCTGCCCTGCAGCACCCCTGTCTGACTGCAGGGGGTGCCCGCTGCTCAGGAATTTGAAAAACAGGTCTGGCCCAGCCCTCTTGTGGGAGGTGAGCCAGCCTGTGGCACTCTGGAGCCCCCTCCTGGCTGCCTCGTCCTGAGATGTGAGAGAATGGGGACATTCATCCAGCATCTCTTCTGCAACTGTGTCCCACCCTGGTTCCTTCCTCCTGCTGGAGTGCATCAGGTGCTGGTTCTGGTCCTGTCTCTGGGGTCAACTCAGGTCCTATGAGTCCTATGAGTCCTATGAGTCCTATGAGTCTGCAGACCAGAGTTTGGGGCAGGGGGCACATCAAACAGCGTGTCAGTCTCCAGAGTGTGACCTTGGGACTGGGAATAATATCACCTTCATAGTAGGTTGTTGGAGGAGGAGGTGAGGTGTTTCATCTGGTGCACAGCAGGCAAGCAATGTATGCAGCTGGAATGATCCATGGTTATTTTCTCCACCACGTAGGGCAACCGACCATCTCAGAATTTCTAGAGTAGTGGTGGTGGTTGTGGGGTGCTCTGAATTTGTATCAAGGACCCCATATCATCTTGCCACATGAAGCATCAGGACAGCCACAAACCATACTGCTTCCTTCTATCCTTGTATCCGGGTGAAACCATCTTATGTAATGAAGGTGGAAACAAAAGGATGTCACCCAAGGGGTCAGATGCACGTCCCCTAGGGTGTGTGTGTGTGTGTGTGTGTGTGCGTGCGTGTGTGTTGGTATAAGCTCATCCTCGGGGGTTTGTTCACCCAGCCCCTTATCCTCCCTGATCAGTCTTAGGAGGTGGGTGACCTACGATAGATACAGGATGTGTCTCCAACTCACCAGACCACAGAGTCCCACCACAGGACTGCTCTTCCTTCTTCCTTCCCTCCCCCACCAGTCCCTGGAAGCCCAGGCCCAGCCCCACCCGCCTGCCCTGGCTGGAACTCCAACTCTTCTCATCCCCTTTCCTTGTCCCAGTATCTATCCCCCTGGGCTCAAGTCCCTTTGGGGCTTAAGGCTTTTCTCAAATCTTATTCCTGCTCACTTCCTCTGTCTGGGAAGCCCAAGTTCATGGGCACATGGCAGAGAAGGAGGGGGAAGTCTTTTTGAGTCCCTGTGCCCAGGTTTTAGTGCCTGTGAACCTGTGTGTGCAGAAGGGATGGCTCAACCCTGCTGACCACCAGGGGAAAGGCCGAGTGGGGAAGCCAGAGGCTCCCAAGCTCATTCCCAAAGGAGAGCCCTCCAGATAAACTGGATCTGGGTGAGGGAGGAGAGAGGCGGTCCAGGAGCCTGGGCCAAGGCCTGGATGTGCATCATGGATACTGCCTGGATGGGAGAGTGCTGGAGGGAGTCCAGCTCCACGGGGGCTGAGAAGGCCAGGCCCCAGTCTCTGGGGAGTTCATGTTGCCTCCTCCAGCCCCACTGGCTGTCCCCCTGCCATCCTGCCTATCCCCCTGCCATCCTGCCTGGTTCAGGTCTGCACTCATTGGCTCCCTGCCTTCAGGTATGCAGGGCCTCACTCGGTCTCAGGCAAGGGCCTTTCAAGTCCTAAGCTAGATGTGAGACATCTCCTTGACAATCTGGTCCTCAGTTTCCCCACTAGGGAAGGATGTAATTTCCCTCAGATTCTCAAAAGAGGGCGTGGCCTTTTCAAAGACAATAACTTCCTGCTCTGGAATGAAGATTTTGTGTCTGCCCCCTGCCCCCAGCCTAGGATTCCTAGAATTTCCTTAAGAAAGGCCCTTGGATTAGGCTCACTTCTTCTTGAGCCTTAAGTGGGACATAGAACATTCCTTCCTTTGATGTCCTCTATCATACCCCCTACCCTAAGCCTTGGGCCAGTCTTGCGACTCCTTGCTAAGTTGAGAGGCCTCAACTGGGCTGCACCCTCTTCCCTTTCTGCCCCCTCTTCGTTTCTTCTGAATGTGCCCTTGATTCTCAGATATGCCCCACCCAGTCCCTGGCCCACGGATAAGGCAAGGGGTGTTATCAGAGCCCAGCTATGAGGCCCACTGTCCACATACCCAGGAAACTCTGCCATCCCTGGGCCAGAGCCAAGGAATGGTCCCCACGCCTGCAGGGCTACCAGGTGCCCACAAGCTCCTAGAACCTGGGATGGAGAGCCTAGCAGTAGCTCCTTCCCATTTCCAGACCTTTCCTCATGGGCCTCTTGGGAAGTCAGGGCATATAGGATGAGACTCAACCCAGTCACCCTGCTCTGCTACCAATTCATGTGCCACAGGAGAATCTGTCTTCCCTTTACCCAGACTTGGCATCCTCAAGGTAATTGTTATATCACAACGCAAAGAAAAGACCACCAACTCCAATTTTGAATCAAATTAAAGCAAGCATATAATTCTGACCAGCCAGGACTGTCTCTCCCGAAATCCTTTGGTTAGAAGGCAGTCCTCCAGCTCTCTAGGAGTGCAGTTTTATAGTATAAAAAGTTGCAAAAGGTGAGTGTCTCAAGATCTTACAACAGGATTTTGACAAGCATAATACAAAGGAAATGGTTCAGCACTTAGGGAGTAAATTTAGATCCCAACATCAGAATTTATGAGGTGCCATTAGGGCTTCAGAGAGGGTTGTTATCTGGTCAGGGGAAGCCAGACTTGGGTGAATTCAAGGCACGGACAGGTATTCCAAGCAAGTTTAGAAATCGCAGTAATTTATAGTAAAACAGAAATTAACTTTTCATGACTTTGTGACGAGATGGCTCGCAATCTTAAGATGGAATTAGGCTGGGTTCATCAGTAATTATAGGTACCACATTGGGTATCCATCAGTAATCATAGGTACCACAATGGGACTTTAGGAAGGGAAGGGAATCAGGGCCACCCTATTCAGCTGTCTGCCACCCCCAGTTTCACAGATGGGGCTCTGAGACCTAGAGAGGGAAGTGGTTGCCCAAGATGACCTGGTGGCATCAAGCCTGATGGCTTTCTCTGGTTCCCAGGGGACCACTCTCATTCCTGCTTCCAGGGCCATTCTAGCAGGGGAAGGGCTTGGGCAGTGACCACAGGGCCCCACTCTCTAGGCAAACTTAGAGGTGGGCAGTGAAGTTCAGCACAGGGCTGGTTGCTGATAGGAAGACCAGTCTGAACTCCTCTCTAACCCTGCACTGTGCTGATAGTGCCTCCTGCTGCCTCCTGCTCAGCCCTGCCCTGCTCTGCCCTGACTGCCCCACCCAAGGTCCCTGCAAGTGGCTGAGGGTGGGGCAGGGCGGGGACCCATGGAGCAGAGGAGGTTACTGTGGTGTGGGATCATGGCCCAGACTTCTCATCCCTCAAAGGGCACAGGCACCTCTATGGCTACCCTTGTGGGCCCCTGGGCACAGTGCTGGGCACCCAGATGATTCTCCATGTGTCCAGGATCCTTTCCCTTTAGTTCTTAGCATGCAGGGCATGGCTGGAGGGAAGTAGCCTGGGATTGAAGGTTTGCCCTGGCCTAGATGACAAAACCTTCATTGAGCATTGCCTGGGCCAGACCCTAAGTGGTTAAGTGTGCCATGTGGTTCATATTCTCTCCTTAATCCTCAAATTAACCCTACAGAGTTGTTATTCTAGTTTTAGAGATGAGGAAACCAGCACTGAACAAACTAGTCACTTCCCCTAAGTCACGCTGCATGTAGGTGGCAGAGCCAAAAATACCTTAGGCCCTTTCCCAGGACACTGCCTTTCTGGGTGGTTACCACATTTGATTTCAATGTAGAGTAGCGGTTAAGATGCAGGCTCTGAAAAACGGGACTGCTGGGTTTTTCCTCCATGAATTGAAATGAGGAGTCACAGTTTGGTGGTGTTTGGGGATTGAGTTCTTGGTGTGTGAAGAGCTGGACACCAGCACTGGCCCAGGCTGGTGATTATCGGCATAGAAAGATCCCAGGGATTCATGAGGCAGGAAGTAGCCTGGGATCGAAGGCAGGACTTAGTGATTTGTTCAGGGCCTCGGGATGCTGTAAGTCACCATGACAGCCTGCTCCTGCCCAGTTGGTGTGGGTTCCCTTGGGGCTGGGGCTGCTTCCTAGGGGAGGATCCTGTGTCTGTTCTCTCCAGGCCAACCAGGAACATGGGCTGAGATTTCCTCAAGAGAGCAGTACAATGACCATCCCACCATGGCTGTGCCTGCCTTTTAAGAAAGCTGCTGCTTGCCTGTGTTTTGTGGTGAGGCAGAGCGCCTTGGGCTGAAGGAAGGCAAAAGCCAAGTTGGCCAGGCAGCTGCCCAGAGCCACAGCATCCCCAGCTCCTGCTGTCTGTCCTATAATTGAAGCCTGTCTCCGTGTCCTGGGCTCCGTCTCTGCATCCTGTCTCTGTCTCACCTCTTGTCACCCGCTCCCCTCTCTCCTGTCTTCTTTCCTCTTTCTCCCTCTCCTCCTCTTTCCACTTTCCCTGATCACGCTCTCTCTCCCTTTCTTGGTCTCTCTCACCTCCCCCCACTTTTCCTGGACTACAGCTTCTAGGAACACAAAGTAAACTGGCACCTTTTAAGTAATAACTTCTGACTGTGGTTCTTGGAAGCCCCTAGGTCCGGGTATGGAAACTCATGGAACCTTCAACCAGGCTGGAGGCCACTCCTGCACAGGGCACCTTTGTCTGCCTCTGCCTGGGGCTTTTGCCAACCAGCCAGGCACCCATTTT